GAACAAATTTAGTGATTTTGAATATTTATATATCGTCTATTTTTACGCACGCAAAACTAGAGGAATGAAAATCATAACAAGTCGAAAAAAATCCAACCATATTTAACCATCGTTTGATGATGTAATCTTCTAAAAAAAATCCAACCATATTTAACCATCGTTTGATGATGTAATCTTCTAAAAAAAATCCAACCATATTTAACCATCGTTTGATGATGTAATCTTCTACAAAAAATCCAACCATATTTAACCATCGTTTGATGATGTAATCTTCTAAAAAACTCCAACCATATTTAACCATCGTTTGATGATGTAATCTTCTAAAAAACTCCAACCATATTTAACCATCGTTTGATGATGTAATCTTCTAAAAAACTCCAACCATATTTAACCATCGTTTGATGATGTAATCTTCTACAAAAAATCCAACCATATTTAACCATCGTTTGATGATGTAATCTTCTAAAAAACTCCAACCATATTTAACCATCGTTTGATGATGTAATCTTCTAAAAAACTCCAACCATATTTAACCATCGTTTGATGATGTAATCTTCTACAAAGAATCACACCATATTTAACCATCGTTTGATGATGTAATCTTCTATAAAGAATCCAACCATATTTAACCATCGTTTGATTATGTAATCTTCTACAAAAAATCCAACCATATTTAACCATCGTTTGATGATGTAATCTTCTAAAAAAATCCAACCATATTTAACCATCGTTTGATGATGTAATCTTCTAAAAAAATCCAACCATATTTAACCATCGTTTGATGATGTAATCTACTACAAAAAATCACACCATATTTAACCATCGTTTGATGATGTAATCTTCTATAAAGAATCCAACCATATTTAACCATCGTTTGATGATGTAATCTTCTACAAAAAATCACACCATATTTAACCATCGTTTGATGATGTAATCTTCTATAAAGAATCCAACCATATTTAACCATCGTTTGATTATGTAATCTTCTACAAAAAATCCAACCATATTTAACCATCGTTTGATGATGTAATCTTCTAAAAAAAATCCAACCATATTTAACCATCGTTTGATGATGTAATCTTCTAAAAAACTCCAACCATATTTAACCATCGTTTGATGATGTAATCTTCTATAAAGAATCCAACCATATTTAACCATCGTTTGATGATGTAATCTTCTACAAAAAATCACACCATATTTAACCATCGTTTGATGATGTAATCTTCTATAAAGAATCCAACCATATTTAACCATCGTTTGATGATGTAATCTTCTATAAAGAATCCAACCATATTTAACCATCGTTTGATGATGTAATCTTCTACAAAAAATCACACCATATTTAACCATCGTTTGATGATGTAATCTTCTATAAAGAATCCAACCATATTTAACCATCGTTTGATGATGTAATCTTCTAAAAAAAAATCCAACCATATTTAACCATCGTTTGATTATGTAATCTTCTACAAAAAATCCAACCATATTTAACCATATGATGTAATCTTCTAAAAAAATCCAACCATATTTAACCATCGTTTGATGATGTAATCTTCTAAAAAGAATCCAACCATATTTAACCATCGTTTGATGATGTAATCTTCTAAAAAAAATCCAACCATATTTAACCATCGTTTGATGATGTAATCTTCTAAAAAGAATCCAACCATATTTAACCATCGTTTGATGATGTAATCTTCTAAAAAAAAATCCAACCATATTTAACCATCGTTTGATGATGTAATCTTCTATAAAGAATCCAACCATATTTAACCATCGTTTGATGATGTAATCTTCTACAAAAAATCCAACCATATTTAACCATCGTTTGATTATGTAATCTTCTATAAAGAATCCAACCATATTTAACCATCGTTTGATGATGTAATCTTCTAAAAAAATCCAACCATATTTAACCATCGTTTGATTATGTAATCTTCTATAAAGAATCCAACCATATTTAACCATCGTTTGATGATGTAATCTTCTACAAAAAATCCAACCATATTTAACCATCGTTTGATTATGTAATCTTCTATAAAGAATCCAACCATATTTAACCATCGTTTGATGATGTAATCTTCTAAAAAAAATCCAACCATATTTAACCATCGTTTGATGATGTAATCTTCTAAAAAAAATCCAACCATATTTAACCATCGTTTGATGATGTAATCTTCTACAAAAAATCCAACCATATTTAACCATCGTTTGATGATGTAATCTTCTAAAAAAAAATCCAACCATATTTAACCATCGTTTGATGATGTAATCTTCTAAAAAAATCCAACCATATTTAACCATCGTTTGATGATGTAATCTTCTAAAAAAATCCAACCATATTTAACCATCGTTTGATGATGTAATCTTCTAAAAAAATCCAATAATAAACATTTTTTTTCTGATGACGTTTTTGGAAAGTTTGAGTATAGGAAATTGATTCAAAGAAAGAAAGAAAGAAGAAAAAATACACTTTTTCCGGTACAGTCGTCAGCATACATCTAAAAAAATGTTGTGTTTTTTATATATATTTTTCTTATTTTTTTCGAGAATAACAGATATTCTCAGTTATTTTCGTGACAAATATTTTTTAAAAAATCGTCTTTCATTACAGGGTAAAGGTGTTATACCTGGGTGTAAAGAAACATTAATGTGAAAATGCTAAATTTTCATTTGTTTTAAAGAATTTTAAACGAACAGAGCAACCTAAAAATGAAAATGTTCCAAAAAGACTCGAATCCTCTATTTGACCATCTAGAATTGAACTCTTTTAAAGACTTTATGTTTAGACAGAGAATATTGTTGATAATCCGTGCAAGATTTGGTCGTAATCTACCATATTCTATATTTATACTCAAGATAATTACCTTAGCGACTAGAAAATGTTGAAATTGTTGACGCTATTAACCAAATCACGCCGTCAAATACGCCGTCAAAAAAGTAGTCCACAAGTGATTTTTTTTTACAAAAGTCATGAAAATCAACGTATTTAAGTTTATATGTACAACACTAGGTAGTTAAGTATACATAGACATACAAGTCCAGAAGTTTTGGCGGAATCCATTTTACATCTGATTATATCTACTTCTGGTCAAACGTCAAATGATTATATATACATCCTTAAGAAAGTTTGGAAATATGAGATCGTTCTTTTGGTGTCTGATATTTTGACGTTACTCCTGACAACAAGACGACGCCATTTTGAATAGGCAGTTTTACATAAAACCCTATCATTGTATGTTTTTTTTTTATCTGGCAAGATTACCTTACAAACCTACCATACAGAAAACCCTAAATACATACTAAACAAATTTAATGGAAAAAAACATCTTGAACCGTCACTTTATCTGCGTCCGAACAGGAAAATTAGCAGATTTTTATGCAGTGACTACAAAGCACCGCTCTGATTGGTCAAATATACAAAAACGTATTACAAAAGTTAAATAATCTATGGAAAAGCTATATAGTCACATGATAATATAAGCTGTTACCAAATCGATTCCTTAATTTCAATTCTTTTTCAATTATGATGATATGACTAGGAAATAAATCAGCTTATTATGACATCAGAAGTTCGTCTGTTTAAAATATGTCAGTCAAGTGATGGATTTTGTTATAGGATGCACTTGAGACGATATGTATATATATATACACACATATACATATACACACACACACACACATATATATATATATATATATATATATATATATAAATGATTTTTAGTGCAAAATGTAACATTTTGCACTAGCGCTAGTTGTAACTTCTTTTGTCAAAAATCATTTTTATTTATAATTTACTCGCATCTCGTCAAATCAAGTTTTTTCTATATATATATATATATATATATACACACATATACATACACACACACACACACATATATATATATATATATATATATATATACATATATATTTATGTATGTATGCTTTGAAGTATTGCGGTCATGAACATCATAAGTCATTGCTAAAGAGTTTCAAACATCAAGGAAAATTCAAAAGTCAAACCACACAATTCTGATAAGTCGAGATACAGACAAACGTTTAAAATAAGCATCAACTACATGGAAATCATATTCATTTATTAAGAGGTTAAAATAGCGTTTATTGTCTTAACAGTTCTAAAAATGAAATTTTAGATAATTGGAAATATATCTCTTAACTTCACTTATCACCTCACCACTTATCAAAAGTGCGTGTAAAAAGCGTGTCAAAATTCAAAACTTAATTAAGAGGATGCAAATAGATGTATCCTTTATATTTTACTGGTAAATTTATGGGAAATAATCTAACGTGACGTCATATAAAAATAGCATGACGCACTTGTACGTAATATCAAGACATCTGTCATAGAACTCTCAAACTATTACATCTATTGAAATTACTTTTGACATTTCATTACTTAAAAATTGAAAGTGACGTCACTGGGACATTCCTTTGGCGTTGCGCACGCCTTTTAAACCAGTATAATATCGTTAAAAATTGAAATGTTAACGATATACTCTGAATAAGTGAGTCTGGTCTCACTACTTACTTATATATTCAATTCTCTTACATAAACATTCACAATGTGTTAGTTATCATTACATAGTATAAGATATATACAATAAAACTAGTATTGCCAAAGCAAACATTACGGCTATATTGATAAGAAATAATGATAGAATTCTATCCGAAAAAAATCTGTAGAATGATTTTTGAGAAGGTAATCTTAAACTCTAAATGATTAAGCTTTCAAATGAAGAGCTGCAAATGTAAACAGTCTAGCGCCAGTCTGATATTAGCGCTTTCCGCACTAGGAATATTGCGCTAATATATTATTGCGCTAATTACATTTATGTTTGTCGTTAATTAATGCATCATAGCACTCACTTGTTCGTAATTACTACTGCGCTAAAACTTGAATGCACTAAAATATATACGTTTACAGTACTAAACAACATAACTCCTATGGAGTGTAATCAGTTTACAACATTCAACTCAGACCCAAGTCGAAGTGATAAGATATAATTTTTTTACACTCATTGCCATCTACATGGTACCTGTTGTTACGACATACAGGTATCGTTACGGACCATCCTCCATACTCCAGGGGTTACGATCACTAAGACTAAGACCTCCTTTGGAGAAAAAAAACATACGCCACTATCCTTTTCACTCATATATTGATATTGTATCACTACGCTAAATTTCTTATACATTTCATTACTTTCTGTTTACACCATAAAATATCCTGTTGAAATGCTGTCAAGTCATTTTGAATCACATCGTTGTCGTCAACTTCCACCAATAGCGAAGTCATCTATCTTCAGCTTATTCATCAAGGATTAGTTTCTCTGAAAATATAACCAACACCGAATCAACATTAAAGGGATACATTCTAACGATTGGAAGATACTGAAGGGTTTTTTTTCATGATAATTAAGGGGACCAGACCAGTTATCTACAGGATCAACAGAGTTATTGCCCTTCTATTGCATGAACTACCTATAATGTAATGAATAACACACACTTTATACAGGTCGCAAGGTTTCGAGATATACGGATTTATGAAAATTTTGGAGACGTTTTACTGTCGTCATACTGACCCGGTATTTCATGAACCCCTATTGCATCAAGACTTTTGCAAAACCGTGAAATTTTGAACCATTGGAAACAGTATACCTTAACAGTGTACCTGACAGCTATAGAATATCTCTTGTTTTTCTTAACTTTTTTGAATATGTTTTTTATCGTCTAGATAAGTCTTTTTTACTTTCACATCTGTTCCATATGTTACTTTAGGTATGGGAGATATACTGATAGAAATTACTGATAAAAACTAGAATTATCTCGTCAAAATCTGTCCGCCAACACCTCAACCCGGAATACATGTGATGATGCCTCCCGAGCCTGGGGTGGTTGGGGTTTGGCTGTGTGGAAACGTTTAGTGTGATAATATATTTATATATTTATGTTGAATTGCTTTGGTTTTCTGATATATTTTATTTTTTACGCCGTAGTACGTATATTGAAGCACCGACAAGATTGGTATTTGAGTTGTGGTGACTAATTGGTGATTTTCGATAAATCAATTTTGTTTTATTAGTCAAAATTTTCTTAAGATACTGTACCCTTGGCGGTGTCCTTCGTTTTCAGTCTCATGTCAGTTTATTCCTTAGAGATTTATTGGTCAGTCAACAATATCACACATTACTAGGGCTTCCTACAAAAAAGTTTAACCTAACCGGCCTAAGTATGGATCTCCATTTCAGAAGTATGACCTGAAATCAAACTACGAAACCAAAACGTAAATAGGTGTTAGAATTGTTGTTTCTAAGACTGATAGTGAGTACCAAATATGTCGAGGCAGCAAACTAAGATGTTTGTGATAAAAAACGACATTATAATGAATCCTGTGTTTGTGTGTTGATACTGTTGTTGTTATATACTTCATATAATTCAATGTGATAATAAGCGAAATTATCGTAAATGGCATACGTGATAAAATATTATGACAGATGAAATTATCATTGATAAGACATATGGTGATGGAAGGCACCATAAAGATGACGTCATAAAGGTGACACCTGGTTATAGAATAAACCTTAATCTACTGCAAAAATGTTAATGATAGAAATCCTCCTGAATAAGACATGGGATAGATGACGTCATGATAGAATACACACAAATGAAGACGTCATAATGAACGATACATGTGGTTACACAAGGCAGTCGTCTTAGCGAATGTACACACCGTTGGCGATGCCCTTTATGGTACAAAGAGGATTAGTCGTAACTTTTGGAAGAAATTCATTTATATGTCTCCTGATGTCGTTTTTACAATCACTTTTCCTTTCAGCTTTTATGGTATGTTGTTGTTGTGGTATAATGTTTGGTGTTGTTCACTATGGCTGTTATCCCATCCCTTACGTATTAAAGGTAAGTGATTATTTGTTGAATATTGAATTAAAATATTGTTTAAACTACATCAATAAGATTTCCCCTGTATTATTTTTCTGACGAAAGCGAAGTAACGAAATCAACCATCACTTTCCGTATCAGTTACCATAGAAAAAAAAGATTATTCATAATGACCTACTCCAATTCAATAGCAGTATATTCTCACTGCACGCGCATCGTTCATTCACGTGCTAAAAGTAAGACCTTATCGTGTTGATGACCCGATAAGACGCCAAGCAAAAACTACAGAAGAAGAATGCCAACGATTCGGAACGCTGCAATCACAATGATGCCTCGGGTCATGGGACTCGAAAGTGATGTAAGATAAAGGTCGGGACACACAAATGTACCGCAGAGATAAGGGAAAAAATTCGCTGTCAAAAGCATTAAGAATAGGTTAATTCCGTGAGGGATTCACGACATACCTTCAGCTATTTTTTTTTTTTGGCTTGTAAGCTATGTGGTACTATGTTTTTTCAGGGTGTTATCAACAATGGCTTTTTTTAACTGTTGCGGATTTCTCCATGAAACGGATTTTTTTTTCTGGTGTCGGTGTGATTCGAGTTTACTTGTGATTTCTTAGACAAAAGTGACAAGAATTCTCTAACGAGATCCGCAATATCGCTACTGAACAGACTGAATACCAAACACAAAGTTCCCCATTCACCAGTTTATCAGCCAGGATCCCTTTGGTATGTTTGATTGATGTAGTTTCATAATTTACTCTCTTAAAAGAATAATGTGTTTATAACAGTATCAAGATTTAGCGTTTTTAACGGGACTGGGAATCCTGATTCCATCTGAATGTGTGTGAAATATGACAAATACGGCCATGTTAGACGCCTTGTTTACATTGTCTATCACTCTGTGGATCATCAGAAGGATGTCTTAAAATAATTAAAAAAAAAAAAAACGTTTTTCGGTATATGAACTTCATTTACAAGAAATGCAAAGCGAAATTTTCGGTGAGTTTATTAGTAACGAATAAGATAAATTTTTGAAACATTCCAATGGTAAATATTTTCATATTAGTGATTACATGATGGAGATTATAGTATGTTTACCAGATCGACGGTTACATGGAAACTGCATTATTGAATACACATGTCAGCTTAGGCCTCTAGATTGTGTTACGTATCAAACGACCAATTATTGTAATTTCGCTTTCAGTAAACATAATGAAATGTATAACGTACATCAAGGACACGTTTCATATGCTTTGATTTGATTGGATAATACGCCATTCCGGTAATCTTAATCGTGTCCCTTCCGTAGAAACGTTTATTATTACAATTACTCTGACTTGTCAGCAATGCCGCAGATGAAACACAAAGATGTGTTCTCAATCTCCATCGGTGCCAACTTTATCGCGAGAGTGAAACAAAGGGGAGTAACTATGGGAGATACTGTGAATATGGACAATCGATATCCAATGGGGTTGTTGGGAAAAGTACATATCTCCGCCACAAATTTTAAATTGTTAAGCCAAATAACGAATCAAACGCAGTTTATCAGTTGTTTTCCTGATTCGGCATTGATACCAGAGGACAAATCAATGAAACTTTGAAGAGAAGATTTGGAAGTAAAAGTAGGATATAACGAATGATAGGATATGGTTGGTGAAATGGCTTCACATTTCAATAACTTTCGTACGTTTTCTTATTTCTTATTTTGCCCTACTTTCATCGAGTTTGAAATACGATTATATTGTCATGGTGATATTTATGTTGTTGTTTTTTTTCACTTCATTTATATTCTGAACCTTGCCGATGGTCGTATTACGGAAAACGTCGAGGACTTTCTGTCTAAAAGCAGAGTTCTTAATCTCAAATGATTGTACTGTGTCTATTCACTTGTGTGTGATGTTTTATGTGAACAAAATGGAAGAAATTGCGTCATTCCAAACTGAGTATCGACTTAATGTTTAACGAGAAAACGAACTTTATACCTCCGGTTGAAATGAATATATAGAACTATCCAACCTGTATTTAAGATGCAGTGGGCGGACAGCCAAGTAGGCTCAATACGAAAACACACCAAGACCTATAATTCAGGTAGTTTACTGTTGGATCAGAGCACATAAGAAACTTACATCCGGCTTCAATGGGTGCATTCAAGTAAGGTGATATATACAGTGTAATTTTAATACTTCGTTTGGAAAACATTGATCACGACTAGAAACGTGTAAATAAAATTGCTGTAAAATGTATAATCTACATATCGATTACGTTGGAAGGTCGTACAATTCCCCAGATGTACGGCCATGAGGGTCATTAAATGGTATTGTGTAACATCTCTACCCGTGTGAAATATTTTTCTAAGGAAAAATGCATTACACGTGTTACCGGAAACGGAAATACATTGTGTACTTTTTTTACCTCCATAAAAGAGAGCCAACATAAACATCGAGACTACACATGGATAATCATTTATTAAGAGTAAACTTGTGCACGGGGAAAAACTTGGAACAAGAAGTTCAAGAGAATGGAATGCATTGATCAATGTACGATATCATTAATGATACCGCCTGATTGTGTTCACGTGTTACTACAAATGTGTCTTACTGTAAATCAGACCTAAACTTATAACATATGTTATATAAAAGAGAAACAACAACAGGCAAGCAGCCAGCTATCACCAACTTTAATTTTTCAATTCCGCGTGTATATAAGATAATGCGAAATTTAGAAAAACACTTCTGCGAAAGCATCTTCAGAAATTACAAGTCTTTGTAGTGTTTTGTAGAGTTTAATCCACATTAGCATTAATACAATGAAGAACTATTTCCAGAAGACGTATTTCATCGAAATGCAACCCATGCTGTTTACACAAGGCAAATGTATCCGATTAGATTTGTTCTACTTAATCTAAACTATTATTATACAGATTGCAATCTGATCGTCAAGTAACAAATACGTGTTATTCTTACCAAGGATAAAACCGATTTTACAGGGCTGATGAAGTGGTCTGCAGACAGGTATAGTGAGGTGAGAGGAATATCGATGATGTTTGTCTTATGCTTGACGCAATCCATCGCCATGCGAATTCATATGTAACTATACTTGTTTATTGATATACAAGCTTGTTAAACAAGTCTACCATAAGAACTTTCATGCATTAGACTAGAACCAGCTGTCGACATGATATGAAGTTGGATCTTAATCCTCTTTGTAAACGCGTTCTAATACTTATTGTAAGAATATCACATTTCCTTTCTAATATAAATAAAAACGATAGAATTGGAAGAACGTGCTACTTTATAATCAAGTTTAAGCAATAAAGACTGGATGGAATGCTACGGTGTCAAAGTTCAATAATTCGGTACAATGTAGGAGTCCATGGATAGTCCCATATTCCGTGAAATTCGACTTCATGAGCCCTCTGTTATTTTGCAATGATGCAACAAAAAAATAAATAAATAAAATAAACAAAAACGACACACCATCATTGATCTTTCCGAAAATATACTTGTTAGGCAATGTTTTATGGAAAATAGGTAATATTACCTAGTAACTTGTCCAATATTTGATTTGTATTATGTCCTACGTTTCAAATTTTAGGCTCTTAGCATCATTGACGAGACCTAGAAGGACGAAACAGCTGTATGATGTAGCATCACTGACGAGTCCTAGAAGAACGAAACAGCTGTATGAGGTAGCAACACTGATGAGTCCTAGAAGAACGAAACAGCTGTATGAGGTAGCAACACTGATGAGTCCTAGAAGGACGAAACAGCCGTGTGATGTAGCCTCACTGACGAGTCCTAGAAGGACGAAACAGCTTTATGATGCAGTTAATTCATTGTTTGCCTTTACTATATTTAATTCTTAGTTTGTATTGAAAATGTGAAAACCACCTGTGTGTCTCTTGTGCAATCTATGAGAAACAGCAACCGTTGCAAATGGCAATTCGGTGTAAACTAACTTTCTATTGCTAACTTAAATCCACATGGACAGTGATAGGAATCTGGTCAATTTCATGGACAATTGAAGTAGGGAATATGAAAATTGACACATTATAAAAACAATACAACAGGATGATTCAAGAAATCAGTCTGTGTATTTAACACTCTACCAGCCATCTGTCATTCATTGACCGATCAGAGTTAATTAAAACACATACTCTCCGTTACAGAATCAATTTAGCTACTCCAGTAGACACACCAGAAATAGCCAGACTTCCGTTTCTGGATCTATCTACAGAACCATATAATTGTATGGTTTATTTAGACAAAATGTTTGTTTTTATTCCTTGAAGGAACACATTTCCTATAAAGAACAACTATACTGATCGTACTACCGAATACCCCTTTAAATTTTCCGCACTTTTGCGTCTGCATATTTGACGCTAATAACGGTGATTAGACGCGCTGGATCCTATGACTTTTTTGTATTCTTTTCCAAAACAAAAACGGAAAAAGTTTAAGATTTTTTTTCACAAAGCAATGCTGATTACATACCACATACCGTTCATCTCCATGCCATCGCCCATTGTGACGTCAATCGGATTGACATGCGTGTTTGTGTTTTGAGAGCCTGCTTTGTAGTTACGCATCTCAACTATAAATTATTTAATCGTTGGTCAACACACACTATGATATGTACATGTCTCAGGATGTTCGTGTTATTTAATTAAGTACCATTTATTTAACTTCTCCTGAAATTTCAATCACATTTTTTCCGTTAAGAGTCCGTATGCCGTCTGTTTACGCAGAATTTGCGAATAAAATAAAATCTTGTATCTTAGTGATATTGCTATATATTATCAAACCAACTAGCTACATAATGGTCACTTTTTGAATATTCTCTATTTAAGCATCGATATCTTTAACCAAATAGTTGGTTTCATGTTTAGTATAAATATATTTGGCAAAAGAACGAACAGAATAAAATTTTATCTTTTTGTTATCTTTTTTATCATTTAACTTAAATTGACCTTCGGTGTACGATAAAAGTTTATGTACAAAATGCTGGCAATGTTAAAACTCATTACTTTTGAACAGAAAACTAGAAACATCGTCGCGATAAGATAATATGATATAATACATTTTGAATCATCATCCTGTATCAATTAGTTTAATGTCAGCAGTTAATAGCTTTTTTTGGTAACAATCCTTAAAAAAACATGCAATCATATTAAGAAATAGATTTTCAAATTATTAGTGATTTTTATGAAAAGAATCCATATAGTCTCTGCCTTATAAACATGTGGTCCTGAACCTAGAACCTTGTTCATATTTAACCTCACTTCTTTGTCTATATCAATATTTACCAACTACTTTTACAAAAGCAACTAATTTAAGTCTGTTTAAGGGATCACAAACCAGGTATTACATCGAGTACTCTTTCTTTAATTATAACCTCGGATAACCACGTTTCCATAGAATGTCTTGAGAATTGACCGCTATTAGTAATTGATAGGGCTGTCTGGTGCAGTTGATTAATTCATTTGACAAGCATCGTATTTAATACAAAATTCGTTGTTAACCGATGTTCGTACTTTGGTAGAGTAACGCTACTTAATCATACTGACTAAGATTTACATGACAGGTGTCGCCGATCAAGCAGAAGCCGCTGGCCCACATGGAACACCTGGTCGTATTCCCCTTTCAATGAATTAAGAGCTTTCGTGTATTTTTTATGTACATTTTCTACTCGATTACTAAAGTTTCAGTTTAGATTAAGATTTGGTTGACCTGAAGGTGATTTGACGAATTAATCATTTAAGTCAAACATATTACAAATTTGCTTGTTTTTATGATATTTAGATTTTTGTTGTTTGCTGTCAGTCAAACATTGTTGATTAATATTCAAGTAGTCTTTATACTTACATTTCGTTAGAGAAAAACACTTTGTAGGGAGTTGGAGTTGTCGTTGCCTTTGCAGAGAGGAGTTTCTGGTTAGCACAAAATTTTAGAGTTCTCTTCAAGTTCCGGTTGAGGCGACGTATCCGGTATTCTTGATCCCTAATCTCTGACAGAACGTGACTTTGGGTTTGTGCCATTTCTGATAATATAGATTTCTCCCAGCGGAATTGTTCATGAAACTGGGAGGCGAGATGATATACTTTGTCAATCTTTGAGTTTATAACAGATCCATCAATGGGTTCTTGGGTCTTGTAGGCAAACTTATCGGCTGAAAACACAGTTTGTGTAACAGAAAGCAACACCACAAGTGTCAAAAGTGACAACAAACTCATACAAGACAAAAACATATTTCCTTTAGATCAAACACATAGATAAAATAACTGACTTCTCGGGTATTTATCAGAATATGAATTAAGGTCCGTTTGTTTTCTTATTTGCACACCATTGCGCTACAACGCAATGCCACTTGGGTTGTCAGTAACGTGTTTTATATAATACCTCCTGCAGCTGAGAAGAGAATTGCCTTTCTGAATGAATCCGGATATATATATATATATCTATATCTGTAACAGCAAGGAGCCAATATCAGCGACACGTAATCTCGTGTTGATCAGAACAAAACACCAGTAACAGTGCAGCCGTGCACCAAACAGACAGTCACAACCCCCGCAGTTAAGGTCCTGGCTGTCACATCCACGCTAACGGAGACGCTGCCATTTTTCTGTCCTGGTGCAATCTTCTCGTCAACGTAACAAAACAGTGTGATTTGTCTACAAAATTTCATTTAAATTAAACACAACAATTTCCGTACCAATTTGTTAGAGTGTTGTCAGGAAAGTGCTTCAATATTACATGGGGATGAGATGTTGCTAAACACGACGTGTACTCGCTGCCCGTGTCAAATCATACTTCAGTCTAACAATTGAAACGCAAACGGGCCCATTGAAATGTTTATAATTGTATCCAATTTGAATAAATAACGTAATTCAGTACTTATCTATTCTTTGTGATGGGTTTAAACTGACGTATTCATAGCATACACAGATGTCGGTAAGTGAACCATCTGTAAAAAAAACAACAGAATCGGTTTGATTAACATCGGCAAAGTTTGCCTCCTGTAATTAAGACGAGCAGATACAATGAACCTGGTCATACTAAAGTGTCTGGTTTCTTCTTTTACTGTCGGCTAGCTCGTGCGATAGGGGCGTTGGGGATCCAGGTCCTTATCAGACTGTGTAGAACTTATCCTAAAGTATATCTTCACGCCTTCTTCAAGTCCCATTAGGGTTTGTCTGTGTTAATTGTATCTATCTGCACTTCAAACGTAACGAGCATGTTTCTTTAGATATTGCTACACGTTAATGGAGGAAGGTGAGACACGCTCATTGTCGTCTACGGTGGCCGTGATGGCTATTAAAATGTAAGAAAATTCTATACATTCCACAAATGTACTTTTATAAGAAAATATTTCTTAAAGATTATGGATTATAAAATTCATGTTAATAACATTCAATCTAATTAACAATTGGAAATATGTAAATATTTAGGAATCTTATTTCATGGGAAACGACCGACAAACGTGAGGATTTGCAGAGCGTTTGACATAATCTCACCCCTAGATTTTCGATTCATTTTCTCGCAACTGAAGGGATGACAGATTTTGCTTTTTCACTCTGTTGTGTCTTATAAATGTCCAACAATTTGATGTAGTTAGATCTCTTCATAGCTGTACTGAAATGACTAGTTGAATTATTGAATTGCCGCCTTTCATTAATGTTCTGACGTCACTCAATTGGTTTTCCTCGTATCAACGAATCTTGAACGGGTGAGAACGAAGAAAAAACACTCCTACGTCATGTATAAAGAACTTGGAATCAATCATTGTCACGTAATGTTAATTGGTGCCTTTCGTTATTGATCGAGTTCAGTATGTTCGACTATACGAAAAGCAATCTATGCTGGACATATATACGTACATAACATCTAAAAACTGTGCGATATCACTATCTGACGTGTCACGAATTTTACTGTTGCTCTTTCATACACGTACATCATATTTTCACCAAAAACACGATACACACATGATTTGTTGCAGCGAGTGTTTTCGCTCATGTAAAAAACAGATAACAGACGGTCGACTTCTTAGGATTTTTAGACTGTGCTGATCTTTTATGTAATGCATATGTTAATCTTCTCTCTTATTTTATTGTTTTGTTCTTCATCAAATTCCTTACTGTAAAATAATATATTTTCATGGTTCTTAAATTTCGTGATTTTTACCCAAAATATACAGTTTCGTCGCTGATTTCGTGGGTAAATTATTCTCACAAAACCTACTATTATTATTACCCACCTTAACTTTCACGTGTTCATCATTCCATGGACATATAAATTCGTGAATTTAGAGTTACAAAGAATACCATGAAAATTAATGACTCTATAGCATGACATGGCATTGTTGCAAAACTAGATAAACTTAATACATTTAACAACAATCGCGGAAACAGTTTCAAGTTTTCACAGCCTGTATCAATCGCTACAAACCTACGTTGTCCAGGTGACCCCATACCATACCGCCCGCAAGCACGGGTGTTTCTATATATATATATATATGTATATATAATATCCCTATCATCTGTAGGGTGTTTCTATATATATATATATATATATATGTATATATATATATCCTCTTGAATTACATATATATGATTTTGTATTATATATATGATATTGTACATATATATATGATATTGTACATTATATATATGATATTGTATATTATATATAAGATATTGTGTATTATATATATGATATTGTATTATATATATGATATTATATATATATGTATATTATATATATGTATATTATATATATGTATATTATATATATGATATTGTGTATTATATATATGTATATTATATATATGTATATTATATATATGTATATTATATATATGATATTGTGTATTATATATATGTATATTATATATATGTATATTATATATATGTATATTATATATATGATATTGTATATTATATATATGTATATTATATATATGTATATTATATATATGTATATTATATATATGATATTGTGTATTATATATATGTATATTATATATATGATATTGTGTATTATATATATGTATATTATATATATGATATTGTGTATTATATATATGTATATTATATATATGTATATTATATATATGTATATATATATATATATATATGATATTGTGTATTATATATATGTATATTATATATATGATATTGTGTATTATATATATGTATATTATATATATGATATTGTGTATTATATATATGTATATTATATATATGATATTGTATATTATATATATGTATATTATATATATGATATTGTGTATTATATATATGTATATTATATATATGTATATTATATATATGTATATTATATATATGATATTGTGTATTATATATATATATGTATATTATATATATGATATTGTATATTATATAAAAATATATGTATTATATATATGATATTGTGTATTATATATATGATATATGTGTATTATATATATGATATTGTATATTATATATATATTGTATTATATATATGATATTGTATATTATATATATGATATTGTATATTATATATATGATATTGTATTATATATATGATATTGTGTATATATATATATGTATATTATATATATGATATTGTGTATTATATATATGATATTGTATATTATATATATGATATTGTATATTATATATATGATATTGTATATATATATATATGATATTGTATTATATATATGATATTGTGTATATATATATATGTATATATATATATATGATATATATATGTGTATTATATATATGTATATATATATATGTATATTATATATATGTATATTATATATATGATATTGTATATTATATATATGATATTGTATATATATATATGATATTGTGTATATATATATATGTATATTATATATATGTATATTATATATATGATATTGTATATATATATATATGATATTGTATTATATATATATGATATTGTATATTATATATATGTATATTATATATATGTATATTATATATATGATATTGTGTATTATATATATGTATATTATATATATGATATTGTATATTATATATATGATATTGTATATTATATAATCATATTCTCTTGCGCTATGTATCCTGTATAACTCTTCCGGAACATCTGGTCTTATTCTCAGTGTACTTCTTCAGAAGTCTCCATGTAAATATTTCTTTTTGTTTTGATAATTTTTTCATAGTTATATTGAATTAGAAATTTCAATTCAGTTCTAATAACTTATTAGAGTTTCACGACCTGGTGTAATGAATGACATGACGTTGAAATAATTGATCGTATTGCAATACCAGTATTTTCTATGCTGTTATTATGTCATATATTTAATTTTTTGTTCATGTTCATACTATGCTATAAGCATTTGATTAAATCTTATTAACCGATATTTTATTTTCATAGACAATTGTTCTGTAATATTACTTTTATTATGTTCTATTACATTACACATTCTACAGTATGGTTGTTCAATTTCGCGGGGCTAATATTTCGAGGTTGGTCCGGTTCGGGCTTGTTTGTGAGTATTAAATTTCGGACATACTTATTAACGGACGTCCATGTTCGCAAATATAACAGATATTTTCGAAGATTTGCATTCACATTAGGAATATTTGGTGAGGATCTAATCTATCGCCATCTTTATTTGACCGCGAAAAAAGATCAAATCCTTCGCGAATATTATCAAATATACAGTATTCATAAAATTTTGTGTTTTATCTATATTTTCTTATATTTAACTATTTCATTCCAGACATCTAACTGTATATTTTTATAAAACGACACTCTTTATCTAACTGTATATCATGTCAACCTTCATTGTGTATTTTCGTTTACAATAAGCTTTAAAGATGACTTGTGGTGACGTTTAACAACCTGTCACGTGACTAGCTGGACTATGTTCCCGTCATTCCGCTCGACAACCTTTGTGGTATGTTAAACTTTGAACAATAGACGGCCCAGGCAACACTGTTATTTCTTTACAAAGAGGATTTTATCTAACCTGGTCGACTGCATTTGCATGTATATTACAGATCACATTGTAAAACGTATGAAGTAGCATTTCCTTAGGTAAATACAAGAACAATTTACGGCAGACAAACGTTACATTTGTAGCTAATGTATTGTTTCAACATTAAAGTCACGTGAGGTGCATTCATAAGCTAAGTGCAACGAAACTTATTGAGTATTAAATTTTATTGAGAGCCATCACTGAACATACAAAGACGAGTATTTTTTTATGTGTCAACTCAAACGTGTAAGTAAATTCAAAACATATACATACATGGACTAGTATTTCTATGTGTCAACCCAGACATACAGGGTTTGATAATGATAGTTCTGGATAAAATCCGTAATACTGAGAGAAAATAACTAGGCACGTTTAATAAGGAACATGCTACATTTTGTAAATGAGCGGGAGAGATTTACTGAATGTGGCAAACAGCTATTGTCAAAGGTTCTGGAGTGGGCAGAACTTCCCTTTCGCTTGAGCGTGTGACTAGTAAGTCAGAGGTCCCAAGTGGAGGCACTGAAATGGATAATGACCTCTGTTACTTTTCATAGGCTCTATGTGGATAATGAATGAAGTAATACTTCAACTAGTGATTAATTGGCCGTTACATCTTTGTGTTATTATTGATACTATTCAATTCTAGCAATTTGACAAGGTCATACCTTTGAAATAGAGGTTCAAGAAAAAATAAATTTTCGCTACAGAGGTTTACCAGTTTCAGCAAAAAATTCATAAATATAAGAAATGAACTTTACTAAAATCAACCGTGAATTATGGAAATAAGATTTTTATCATCCGATATATGATAAGGCGACGAGAAACCCACAAAAGTCATATCTATATACTTTTCTATCATGAGACGGGAGACGTCTTGAACAGGAAAAGGCTCTGAGAAGCTCCCCACGGTCATATCTATATATTTTACTAACATGGGACGCGAGGCGTCTTGAACAGGAAAAGGCTCTGAGAAGCTCCCCACGGTCATATCTATATATTTTACTAACATGGAACGAGAGTCGTCTTGAACAAGATAAGGCGATGAGAGAATGCAGCAGTCATGTCTTTATGCTTTACCATCATGGGACGAGAGACGTCTCGAACAGGAAATGGCGGTGACAGGCCCCCACAGTCATATCTAAATGCCTTTTAGTTTGGCAGTTCACAAGTATGAAAAGTGTGAGAAAGATGGGAGAGATCCGGATGCGTGCATTGGGAGTGTTATTCTATCTCACCTTTTAGTCATCTCTTAAAAACTACGAATAGCTCACTTTAACATGTCAGGAGGCTGAAGGATATGGGCTGTGAGGTTTCTAAAATACTACACAAGCTTTCCCCTGTATACATACAGGATTTAGTAAAATTTTAAAAATCTGTTTATAATTTCAGGAGAGACAACGCAATCAGCATTTCACGTGTAAAGTCTTCAAGGTATGGACTGAACTCATTCTCTTATGAGGCCGCCCGGAATGTGGAACAGCCTCCCAAATGAATTGCGGGGATGTAAATACTTTCCAGAATTTAGGAGAATGATCCACACATGGGATGGTCCCATTTGTGCTTGAGAGAAATTGATTGATCTCTTTTGGCTGTTATACTTACAATTACTTTTTTATGCTGCTTAGTCTGGTCAAGAAATTTGGTTGGTATGGATTGGCCCAACCACCTGTTCTTTGACCTTTCTGCACTATTGCTGTTTTACTAGTATGTGATTTTGCTGTTGAAACTCTCTTGTTTTATGTGTTTTAACACTAGTTTCTTTTATTTTTCTTACTCAACATTATTTTTACTATCAAAAATAAGTTTTTGATTATTTCCTAATCAATTTTTAAGATCAATTAGCTCTGTGATTGTCATTTAATTTTGCAATTTCATTCAGCTGTAGTATTTGTAGTTGTGCTATGTACCAGTACCTCACTGTGGTAAAGTTTATGTTTATATCATGCCAATTACGTGCCTATGACATTATGCGTGTTTTGTTGAATTATATTTCAATATTCCGCCTGTGACCCTGTGTTATATTTTATATGTTTGTCGTAATAATAGCTCTTCTGAGCTAATGTTACATGTTTTATTGTGCGCGACAGAAAAATGTTCTTGTATCTTGAATCTTGTATCTAGATATTTTACCAACATGGGACGTCTTGGGCAGGATAAGGCGGTGAGAGACTCCCACAGTCATATCTATATACTTTCCTATCGTGAGACGAGAGGCGTCTTGAGCAGGATAAGGCGGTGAGAGACTCCCACAGTCATATCTATATACTTTCCTATCGTGAGACGAGAGGCGTCTTGAACAGGATAGGGCGGTGAGAGACTCCCACAGTCATATCTATTTCCTATCGTGAGACGAGAGGCGTCTTGAACAGGATAGGGCGGTGAGAGACTCCCACAGTCATATCTATATACTTTACTATCGTGAGACGAGAGGCGTCTTGAGCAGGATAAGGCGGTGAGAGAACCCCACAGTCATATCTATATACTTTCCTATCGTGAGACTAGAGGCGTCTTGAGCAGGATAAGGCGGTGAGAGACTCCCACAGTCATATCTATATACTTTCCTATCGTGAGACGAGAGGCGTCTTGAGCAGGATAAGGCGGTGAGAGACTCCCACAGTCATATCTATATACTTTCCTATCGTGAGACGAGAGGCGTCTTGAACAGGATAAGGCGGTGAGAGACTCCCACAGTCATATCTATATACTTTCCTATCGTGAGACGAGAGGCGTCTTGAACAGGATAAGGCGGTGAGAGACTCCCACAGTCAGTTTCATATCTATATACTCTTCCTATAAGGCGGTGAGTGAGACGAGAGGCGTCTTGAACAGGATAAGGCGGTGAGAGACTCCCACAGTCATATCTATATACTTTCCTATCGTGAGACGAGAGGCGTCTTGAGCAGGATAAGGCGGTGAGAGACTCCCACAGTCATATCTATATACTTTCCTATCGTGAGACGAGAGGCGTCTTGAGCAGGATAAGGCGGTGAGAGACTCCCACAGTCATATCTATATACTTTCCTATCGTGAGACGAGAGGCGTCTTGAGCAGGATAAGGCGGTGAGAGACTCCCACAGTCATATCTATATACTTTCCTATCGTGAGACGAGAGGCGTCTTGAGCAGGATAAGGCGGTGAGAGAACCCCACAGTCATATCTATATACTTTCCTATCGTGAGACGAGAGGCGTCTTGAGCAGGATAAGGCGGTGAGAGACTCCCACAGTCATATCTATATACTTTCCTATCGTGAGACGAGAGGCGTCTTGAGCAGGATAAGGCGGTGAGAGACTCCCACAGTCATATCTATATACTTTCCTATCGTGAGACGAGAGGCGTCTTGAGCAGGATAAGGCGGTGAGAGACTCCCACAGTCATATCTATATACTTTCCTATCGTGAGACGAGAGGCGTCTTGAGCAGGATAAGGCGGTGAGAGACTCCCACAGTCATATCTATATACTTTCCTATCGTGAGACGAGAGGCGTCTTGAGCAGGATAAGGCGGTGAGAGACTCCCACAGTCATATCTATATACTTTCCTATCGTGAGACGAGAGGCGTCTTGAGGATAAGGCGGTGAGAGATACAGTCATATCTATATACTTTCCTATCGCGGATAAGGCGGTGAGAGACTCCCACAGTCATATCTATATACTTTCCTATCGTGAGACGAGAGGCGTCTTGAGCAGGATAAGGCGGTGAGAGACTCCCACAGTCATATCTATATACTTTCCTATCGTGAGACGAGAGGCGTCTTGAGCAGGATAAGGCGGTGAGAGACTCCCACAGTCATATCTATATACTTTCCTATCATGAGACGAGAGGCGTCTTGAACAGGATAAGGCGGTGAGAGAACGTCATATCTGTATACTTTACTATCATGGGACGGGAGACGTCTTTGACAGGGTAAGGCGGTGAGAGACTCCCACAGTCATATCTATATACTTTCCTATCATGAGACGAGAGGCGTCTTGGGCAGGATAAGGCGGTGAGAGACTCCCACAGTCATATCTATATACTTTCCTATCGTGAGACGAGAGGCGTCTTGAGCAGGATAAGGCGGTGAGAGACTCCCACAGTCATATCTATATACTTTCCTATCGTGAGACGAGAGGCGTCTTGAGCAGGATAAGGCGGTGAGAGACTCCCACAGTCATATCTATATACTTTCCTATCGTGAGACGAGAGGCGTCTTGAGCAGGATAAGGCGGTGAGAGACTCCCACAGTCATATCTATATACTTTCCTATCGTGAGACGAGAGGCGTCTTGAGCAGGATAAGGCGGTGAGAGACTCCCACAGTCATATCTATATACTTTCCTATCGTGAGACGAGAGGCGTCTTGAGCAGGATAAGGCGGTGAGAGACTCCCACAGTCATATCTATATACTTTCCTATCGTGAGACGAGAGGCGTCTTGAGCAGGATAAGGCGGTGAGAGAACCCCACAGTCATATCTATATACTTTCCTATCATGAGACGAGAGGCGTCTTGAACAGGATAAGGCGGTGAGAGACTCCCACAGTCATATCTATATACTTTCCTATCGTGAGACGAGAGGCGTCTTGAACAGGATAAGGCGGTGAGAGACTCCCACAGTCATATCTATATACTTTCCTATCGTGAGACGAGAGGCGTCTTGAGCAGGATAAGGCGGTGAGAGACTCCCACAGTCATATCTATATACTTTCCTATCATGACAGTCTTGATAAGGCGGTCTATATATATATACTTTCCTATCATGAGACTAAGGCGGTGAGAGACTCCCACAGTCATATCTATATACTTTCCTATCGTGAGACGAGAGGCGTCTTGAGCAGGATAAGGCGGTGAGAGACTCCCACAGTCATATCTATATACTTTCCTATCATGAGACGAGAGGCGTCTTGAACAGGATAAGGCGGTGAGAGACTCCCACAGTCATATCTATATACTTTCCTATCGTGAGACGAGAGGCGTCTTGAGCAGGATAAGGCGGTGAGAGACTCCCACAGTCATATCTATATACTTTCCTATCATGAGACGAGAGGCGTCTTGGGCAGGATAAGGCGGTGAGAGAACCCCACAGTCATATCTATATACTTTCCTATCATGAGACGAGAGGCGTCTTGAACAGGATAAGGCGGTGAGAGACTCCCACAGTCATATCTATATACTTTCCTATCGTGAGACGAGAGGCGTCTTGAGCAGGATAAGGCGGTGAGAGACTCCCACAGTCATATCTATATACTTTCCTATCATGAGACGAGAGGCGTCTTGAACAGGATAAGGCGGTGAGAGACTCCCACAGTCATATCTATATACTTTCCTATCGTGAGACGAGAGGCGTCTTGAGCAGGATAAGGCGGTGAGAGACTCCCACAGTCATATCTATATACTTTCCTATCATGAGACGAGAGGCGTCTTGAACAGGGTAAGGCGGTGAGAGAAACCCACAGTCTCATATCTGTATACTTTACTATCATGGGACGGGAGACGTCTTTGACAGGGTAAGGCGGTGAGAGACTCCCACAGTCATATTTATATACTTTACTCTGATGGGACGAGAGACGTCGTTAACACTCCCGCTTGTTGTTTCCGTTAATGTATACCTTGTTCGTATTTGAAAATGTGACATTACTTGGTTGAATTGACACATCACGGGTGTCGTTGATGAAGCAGAAGACGCTCGCTTACTCTTTCGGAACACATGGTCTTATTGAATTTAACTTTGGAATATGATTACGTTAACATGTTGGTATCGTCTTGTTTTTATTTACCTGTATCTTTAGGATTTCTAATCCTTTCTATGCGTGCGTCATAACATAAAAACCGTTTACATCTGCTCATGCGCGTTCCCTCTTTAAACAAATCAGTACAACAATCAAACTTCCATTTCTAATAAGCGTATTGTATCTACAATGCCTAAACCATTCGACTGAAATTTGGACAACGTTCATAGTGTAGATTGTCTAGGTCAGATCTGTTTACAGGTACATGTACACAACTCCTTACACGCGTTGTGTCTACAGATTCCTCCCATAATGGTTAGAAGAGGAGGCTAACAAAAGCTATATTGCAAGTCCCTATAGCAACATCCGGGTTCTTGGCTTTTCATTTTCCCTGTCGGCTCCTTTTTGTTGTTCGTGTCACACTCTTGGTATCTCTCTTGACACCCGTTCTCATATAACACTGGCTGTTCCATAGTACAGAGGTTAAATTCGAAGGTTAGTGCAATATGTCAATGTCTTATGAAGACCACTTTAGATGAGGACACTGACTGATGAGTATAAAGTGTCATCCCACCGAAATGTCTGGACACAGTAGCATACTTAACTTGGTCAGATTACGCTGACAACGGTTTAAGAAATCCTTGTGATCCCATTTAATTTTGTGCCACAAGCAAGGATCACGTACTACCGCCTTAATAACTTTGGCTCAGGGACTGTAATCATATTGTACTCAACTCGGCAGATTCTCAACACAAAAGACTAAAGGTATACATGATAATAGGTAATGTAGAGACATACCAGACACATTAATTTCTTTTTGTAGCTTTTATCTCAGAATTACGTTAACTAGATACAACCTATTTTCGACGTCTGTGGCGGTACACTATCCAATCTTTTTGCTGTTTCGCTGTCCATGGTACTTGTTAAGTTTCGTAATCTCTACATCTGATATTTCCAACATGCTAACCAAACTCCGAATTTTGACGGTTGTACTCATTTTTCTGAATATAACTGTTATTTATTCGGTTTTGGAAAGCCAAAACGAGGACTGATTGAAATTACCTTTCAACCTTAGAGACACTGGGTGTTACTCTGTTGGTATGGCTGATATCACTTTTTAAAAGTATTTAGACAAATATTACTGTCGGCTTTATTTTATTACAGTCTTTAAAAGAGGAGACATTAAATTCGGCTTAAAAAATTGATTCTGTTGCTACTTCCGTGTGGTAGAAAGAAATAAAAAATTTAATATAAAATTCCTACTTTATAGTTTAGAGCCGATACGCCTCGTACTGCTTTAGGGAAGTTGACGGTGTCCTTATCGAAGCATCACACAGGTTGTGATATAAGAAGGTCAATCATATGTATATTTAACACATGATGAAATTGTTTGACGCATTCATGAGATTTTGATGAAATTGTTTGACGCAGTCATGAGATTTTGATGAAAATG